CGCCTCCAAACACACTCACAGACACACCTCACACACAACCTCACACGTAGCTTGACACACACCCTCATACAATCCCTCTCACTCCACCTCAGACACTCACGCGCATATACGCCCTCAGGGACCACCTCACACAAACCATCACAAAAACCCTCCCACACGTCTTCACATAACCATTCACACACAAACCCTCACACACATCCCCACACAGACCCTCACAAACCACTCTCACACGCCCACACACACAGCCTCACAAACCCTCAAACAGACACTCAGGCAAAACCCTCACACCCACACCTCACAAACCCTCTAAAACCCCTTCGCACACACACTCACACACAATCACACACGTCCTCACATTTCCCCTCACACATCCCCTCACACAGATCATGACACAATCTCTCAAACAAACACTCACACACACCATCACACGCAACTCTCACACACAGATTCCCACCTAACCGATCACACACACCCTCACAAACAACCTTGCACACACCGTCGCACAAACTCACATCCCTCAAACACACACCCTCACAAACACCTACAAACACCCTGCTGACACGCTCACCCTTACACATCCACTCACGCACACCCTCACAATTATTCGCACACACATCCACTCACACACACCCTCGCGCAGAATCTCACACATTCCCTCACACAGCCTCCCACACACACCTTCATAAAACCGCTCACACACCCTCCCAACACACACACTCACACAAACCCCCACACACACACTCCACAACCCTCACACGACTCTGACCCTCTTAGCAAGATTGTTGCCCCAGGTGTAAATGTGTTCACACACAGTTTGAGCTCCCAAACGTTCACTCACTCCACTTTGTGTTGTGTCTCTCTCTCAGCTCCGATCTCTCTGAACTTCGATCCTGACACAGCGAGTCCCTACCTCATCCTGTCTGAGGACCTGACCAGCGTGAGACACGGAGACATTTGGCAGCAGCTCCCTGTCTCCCCGAAGAGATTTGATCACTGTCCCGGTGTCCTGGGGTCTGAGGGCTTCACATCAGGGAGACATTACTGGGAGGTGCAGGTGGCCAACAAGACTGAGTGGACAGTGGGATTGGCCAGAGAGTCTGTTAACAGGAAAGGAGAGATCACTTATGCACCAGAGAACGGATACTGGGTTGTGTATCTGAGAAACGGGAATGAATATAAAGCTGGTACCTCATTTCCCACCCGCCTGCCCCTGAGAGAGAAACCCGGGAAGCTGGGAGTTTACCTGGATTGTGAAGGGGGACAGGTGACGTTTTACAACGCTGATACCATGTCTCATTTCCACACTTTCACACAAACTTTCACTGAGAAACTTTATCCTTACTTCAGTCCCGCTTTGAATGACGGCGGCAAAAACTCTGACCCTCTGAGGATTTGTCGGTTGACAGGTTAATAAGGAGGAAACCCTCAGCCATGACCTGTGTTTGGCTGTGATGGCCACCAGGCTGAACCTTTTATAATCTGTGTCGTTATACAATAAAGCGTATAGTTTACACTACACCTTTCACACTGGGACCGCGGCACAATCCTTTCTCGGAATCGACTATGAAGCGACGGTTGTGTTTGTGAGCGAATATAGAACTAATTTGCACAGAGAAAAGTCTAAAGTAAGTCATCTGTGACACAACGACCATCAGGCTGGAGTTTTCAGCTCCTGATCTCGACAATAATAATCCCCGTATTGCACACAGCACCTCATCACTTCTGCCAGACGTCTCAAAGCCTATCCCAGGCTTTCTAAATCTGCATTAATCCCAATGATACCCATGGGATTTATCATTGACTTTCTGTTTAAATAATAAAGCGCTCTCTGTGTACAACACGGGAAACGTTTTTAAAGCCCCCATATACGCGGTGTTCCAAGTGCAATAGTTTAATAAACCCCAATGTTTGCATTAATCAAAATGATATAAATACGGTTTTGCATTAATTTTGGGTTTTGATTTTAATCCCACAGCCGGGGATTAACACGGGAAACGGGTGTAAATTCCCCTAGATCCTCGGGGTTTAAAGTGCATCGGTGCAAAATATTCCCAATTCTGCTCTAATCCCAAGTATATAAATCGCTTTTTGCATTAACTGTCTCCCTCTCTCTCACACTCACTTCACTTTCTGTCTCTCTCACTCACTCTCTCTCTATCAATCAGCCGCTGGAGGCTTTGCTACAAACAGGAGACAAATAGGGGCGGGCTGGGTTTGGGGCGGGTCCGGAACTGGGGGCGTGTCTGGGTTTGGGGCGGGGCTGAGTTCGCGGGCGGGGGCGGGGCTGGGTTCGTTCACGTGGCCAGTGCAGGATTTTGATCTGTTGACCATATTTGGGATTTAAAGCGAGGCCGTCACTGCCTTGAAAGGGAGAGGAGTGTTTGGGGGTTAGAGCCCTTTTTATAATAATGATAGTAAGCCTTGTATTTGACACAGAGTGTTATCACGTCTTCGGAACGACTCAAAGCGCTTCACAGGATACACCGTAAACTGTCACTGCAACAGGTCCTGTAGCTCAGTGATTAGAGCCCTCGCCTCGCAAGCCAGAGGCAGGGGGTCAATCCCCAAGTGGGGGCGAAACCTTTTGCAAGTTTCCGCTCAACCCACAGATACACCAAGACACACAAACACGAAAGCAAGCTCGCACAGGCACACACAAAGACACACCCGATACACATATCGTCAGAGACACTCATACACAGAAACAGAAACACATAGACACAGAGACAAACAGACACAGAGAGACAAACACATATATACACATAGACACACACAGAAACACAAACACACAGCCCGGGACAGGCAGAAATCGCAATGTCCACCCGTGTCCATCACACAAGACTGGCTTGATTCCCACATTGGTTGCCAACCTCCAGATCAACTCGAGGGATACACTGTTCACCTTCCCTCAAAGAGTAGAAGGGATTTTTTTACTAAACGCGCGCTTTGCGGAGTCTGTAAGACGTGAACTGCGCAATATCGAATGTCAAGATTATTAATATTTTTATTAGGTGTACTGAGAATACTGTGGGAAGTTACACTGTGCAGCCTCGCTATCTGGTGGCAGTAAAGTGGTGCTGCAGGGTTTTAGGCGGGGCTAGAAATGGACTTCACTCTGTAGCAATAATAATAATAAAAATAATAATAATTCTTGCATTTCATCCAGTGCCTTTTCACATCTTCTAGACGTCTCAAAGCGCTTTACAGAATATGCTGTCAAGTGATTTGACTGTACATATGTGGATGAAACGCGGCAGCCAATTTCGCACAGCAGCGACCCACAAACAGTCATGGATTGAGCGATCAAATTACCATTTTTTTTTCTTGATGGATCATTATTTGCATTTATACACCCAACCGCTCCCAGTGTTTCTCCTGTATACACACAGACTCTCTGTGGGTCTCTTCTGTATAAACAGCCACTTCCAGTGCCTCCGGTTGTGTACACACAACCTCTCCCAGCGTTTCTCTTTTACACACAATGTAATGGAGAAACTACACACCTTCACACCTACCTCTCCCGCTGTCTCTCTTGTATACACACAGCCTCTCCCAGTGTTTCTCCTGTACACGTAGCCTCTTCCCGTGTCTTCCACTGTATAAACCAACCTCTTCCACTGACTCCCCTGTAAATACACAGCCACTGCCAGTGTCCTGCCTGTATACACACAGCTCTCCCAATCTTTCTCCTGTACAAACAGCCTCTTCCAATATCTCCCACACACACACAGCCTCTCCCGATGTCTCTCCTGTACAAACACAGTATAAAAATAGAAATAATTTTAATATTATATATTATGTAAATATAAGAATATAATTGCAGTATATAAAACAATTGTAGTCTTCTGACACACTCACACGCTTGAAGGAAAGCAAAATAATTCAGCAAAGTCTTTTGCAAACTTAATCAGCCTTAAGTTATGATTAACACATTGAATCAGCCTTAGACAGGTATTACCTGATTTCTATCACGACTGTTGTAGAAAATCTCTTATTTCCAAGGGTAGAAATGACGGATTTGGAATCAAGCAAATTTATTTTGCCAATAATTTAATTTCTATTTGCACAATAAAAATATTCATAATTGGAATATCAATCACTATCAAAAAAATCCATCAAAAAAATTATATAAAACTGCAGACAGTATTTTGATTTAAAGCGAGTCCGCCCTCTTCTTAAAGGGGAGACGTGTTTTTTCGGGCGATTCAAAAGTCTTTTTGTAACAACAATAACAATAATAATTGTCTTTATCCCAGCGCCTTATCAGGACTTTGAGACGTCTCAATGCGCTTCACGGGATAGTGTCGTGACTCAGTTTTTGCAGGATTCAATGCAAAGTGTCTTTGTAAAGTGTCCTGTAGCTCAGGGGGTTAGACACACAACCACACACAGTCACACACATATACACACAGAGAGAGAGACACGCACACACACACACAAAAGTACAAACATACAGACACAGACAGCGATACACACGAGCATCAACGCAGACAGATGCAGAGACAGACAGATGACAGGCACAGACGCAGACACAGGCACACAGACACAGAAACGCAGACACAAACACACACAGAAACAAACAGACACACACAGAAACACACGACACACACACAAACACTGTCACAGTAATACACACACTGACACACACACAAACACACACACACACAGGCACAGAAAAACACACAGAGACACGCACACACACACACACACACACACACACACAAACACAACACACACACACACACAGCCCGGGACAGGCAGAGATCACAGTGTCCACCCGAGTGACCATCACGCAGGAATGGCTCCATTCCACATTTGTTGCCGAGCTCCAGATCAGCTCCAGGAAGACACTGGTCACCTCCCCTCAAGAAGGAGAAGGGTGTTGACTCAACAAGCGCTTTGAGGCGTCTGCAAGACGTGAACAGCGCAATGTCAAATGCCGAATTATTATAAATAGTATAATTACTCAGAACATTGTGAGCAGTTACACAGTACAACACCACCCTCTTTATTTGTAATTTGAACCCAGACTAAATCACAGCAAATGATTATTTCCCTCAAATCCACAACAGCCACCTGGAGAGATGCAGAAGCAATGAATTGCTGTCTGTGTCTGACCGCTCTCTGGCGTTAGATGGTGATAACCAGACCTAGGGACTGAGCAACACAATTAATGTCATGGGATTCAGTGCGAAACTGTTTACTGACAAAAGCACACGAAAATGATTGAAAATGGATTGGTCAATTATAAGCCAACACTGAGGAGAAGCTCCGAGCCCCAACCCTCCGTGAAGGAGGAGAAATAAACGCAGTTTGTTTGTTTGTTTGTTGATGAGAAACTGCGAACTAACTCGGAATCTCTGTCTGTTTTGCGGCCTTGGACGTCCAGCCGACATGATAGACTTTTACACCACGTCATGTTGTTTCTCTCTCTCTCTCTCTCTCTCTCTCTCTCTCTCTCTCTCTCTCTCTCTCTCTAACACTTTCTCTCAGAATTTTACACTCTCTCTCTGTCTCTCACATTCATTATCTCACTCTCTCTGTGTGTCTCTCATACTCTCTCTTTCTCTCTCTCTCACTCTCTCCATTGTAGAGAGGCAGAGTGAATGTGGGTGAGAGACAGTAAAGGAATGAGTGACTCTGTGTGTTCATGGACCTAACGTTTCAGGAGGTTGTCATCCCACAGCCACAGAGCGCTTAGAGAGAGTACCTGTGCATGTGGTAGGAAGAGGGGACGGGCAGTGCAGAATTCACATGAATGTGTGTCATTATCACACATGTCCGGTCAGGGAGAGGACAACTCTGTGGAGAGGAGCCAATGGCAAACGGATGCTCAGTGGGACACCGAGAAGAGTTTCAATGCAACTGTCATTGGGGACAAACCCTTCAAAGGAATAGACAGATGTTTCTCTCGTGGTCACAGAAGATGAGGATGCAGCCAATGCCACAGTATCGAATAAGAGAGCAGAGAAATTGTTTTGTTCAAGAATTACCGAGAGAAATTACTACAAATCAATCGATGCTCAGGGTAGATAGGAAACCCGGACCGGACGGGATGAATCCTAGTTTACTGAAGGAAATAAGTGGTGAAATATCGGAGGCTCCGGGAAAAATCTCTTAAAGCTCTTTGGACACCAGTGTGCTGCCAGATGTCGGAAGTGATGTAAGTGTTAGTCCACTGTACAAAATGCGGCAGAACGATAAAACCGATAATTATAGGCCAGTCAAACTCACTTCATTCCTGGAGAAAACTATGGAGACTGCAATCCGAGACAAAATACATTTCCACTTAGAAAATTATGGTATAATATAGAACAGTCAATACGGTCTAACAAACTGGATACAGTTTTTTTATGAAGTAACGGAGAGGGTGGAGTAAGGTTCTCCAGTTGGTATTGTTATGCATTTTAAAAATATTAGATCGTATCATATAAGACACTTGTAACCAAAATAGAAGCCCACGATTTTAAAGGGACGGTGGCAGCTTGGAAACAGAATTGTCTCGGTTACTGAAAGCACAGTGTAGAGGTGAACGGTTATTATCATTCCTAATATGAGGACTTGCAGATATGCAAACAATGCTGCAGGTGCAATCTATCGAATGATATGCACACATGTGCCATTGTCAGTTGACTTGTGCACACTCTGGTTCAAACTATAAAACCCATTACATTGGCAGCTTTTAGACAGATATTTCGATACCCATTGATGGAAAGGATATACTTGGTGGCAATTTCAGTATGGAGGGAAGTCTGCAGTGGTGTTCTCCATTTGTCTGTACTGGGACCACTGCTAATTCTGATCGATATATATTAAATATTCAATATATTAACAAAACGGGCTGTGCCTTCCTAGCTGCAGAAGAGGAACGGAACATGGCTGGTAATAACTAATAAATTGAAAGTGCCACGTCGTGTAACCTTCCCATAAATGCGTGTCTAAATATCTATGTAAAAGCTGCCAGTGTACAGGGCTTTTTAGGTAGAACCATAGTTAGCACAAATTCCAGGCAGGGCGAAACCTTGGGCAAGTTTCCTTACTCCACAAGCCTAATAATAATCCCTCCAAAAAACAAAAACAATAATTAAATTGGTCATTTTCAATCTATGACTGTTTGTGGGACATTGCTGTGCGCAATTGGCTGCCGCGTTCGCCCACAAATATACAGTCAACTCACTTTACAGTGTATTCTGTGAAGCGCTTTGGGACGTCCTCCCGACGTGAAAAGCGCTATATCAAATGCAAGGATTATTATTATTAAGTTATCTGGCAATGGCACATGTATGCATATCATTGGACAGATTGCACCTGCAGCATTGTTTGCAGATCTGCAAGTTCTCACATTAGGAATGATAATAATGTGTTGGAAAGGAAACAGAGGAGATGTACCAGAATGATACCAGGGCTGTGGGCCTGTTCAGTAAATGGTTCGTTTTAGTTATCTGATGTTTGGTGGCCATCTGACTGAAGACCGTACAAATCTCTGAGCAGTCCAGAGCAGTCAAAACACACTGAATGATTGAGCTCGGCTGGAGTAAAAACTTCAAAGCAGGTCAATAAGGGCAGCATCTGGCAAAGAATTTTGCAACTGTCCTTCTTGCCAAACCCGAGAAGATTAGCTGTTGCATCGCTGGGCACACAATAGGAGGCAAAGGATGGACAGAATGTGTACACACAGCGCAACGTGTGCTGATGACCTCAGCTATTAGATATAGAGGTGAGCAAAAAAAATGATTCAGTGAATGGAGGTCCTGGACTGTGAGTTATGACGTAGTGTATTGGCCATGTTCACAACGCAAAAGATATGTTTGGGAGGCGACATGATTGCTGTCTTTAGAAATCTAAATGGTGAAATTCAGAATAAGTTTACGCAACTATTATTTCAGTCAGCGAATAGTTAATCTGTGGAAAATGCACCCGAGGGAATCAGACGATTGAAGCAGCGAGTGTTGTTTTTTTGAAACACGGATCTCATAGATTTCTCTTATGAAAAAACATTATTTGATTCAGCATACAGACAGATTGCGCAATAGATTCACCCACTCTCATAGTGTGGGAAATTATTGGTTTCACTCTCACTGGGTAAGAACAATAAATTGTGGTGCATATTGGGCCAGGACAAGACCAACACTTTCTTTATACCCAACCCACGAGATTGCTAAAAAAAAACGTTTAATAACAGTGACCTCAGCCGCCATTCATGCGCTCTGATCACAACCCACAATCACAGTCATTTAATGCAACATGTAACTGGCCTGACTCAGACACCGACACACCCTGACCACTACATGGGTTAGATATCTTTCCAGCATTCTGTTGTTGAACACGTCACCTTAAAGCTGGCTCAGCCCCCATGCGATCCTGCTTACCTCCCCCAAGGAATCCAGTCAGCAGTTCGTGCCCGAAGAGAAACATTGGTGTTTCACAATCATTTGTGCAAGTAGCCTATTCCCAGTGGAGACAGTTCTGGGATATAAAGACTGGCAGCTTTGAGTGTCCAGCACTGACAGTCTATCCGCTGGTGTTAGACAATGTTGAGAGCTTTAGCCTACGTTCCGTGGCAGTTTCTGCCAACGCTTTTTCGGATAATGATAGTTTATTATCCTATTCTTGCAGCTATTGGTATTACAGGTAATTAGCTAGATACACATTTTACTTCTATTGATGTACGACAAATTTGCGCATGGCACACACATCTACTTCTTCTCTTCCAGCTGTGACTCCTGTTCCGCTGATGTCCTTTTTGATGTCTCTATAAAGATAAGATATTGTCGTTTGCAAAACCCTCTCCACTTTCGCTGTGAGACTGATAGCGTGTTCCTTCTTCTTTGAGGGTCTGCTCGCTACGACGCGTGTTGCAATGGTGACCGTAGGCACAGTCCAAGAAGAATATCTTGAGGTCTGATCTGACGGTCGCTCGAAAGAGCGTGAGATGGAGTTATTGAGGGTCCAGTGTTTCAGGACTCATTGGCTGTCAGAATGTCTGGAGGTGGGGGAATGCTGAGCAGATGAGCGAATCAGAGGCTGGATATGCTAGGTCTGTCAGTAGGTTGAGAGAGGGAGAGACGCCATGACAAGGAATGGTTTGTACATGTATTATGAATCTTGAAATCAATGTTTATTGTGACAATCAGGCAGTCAATCCTGACGGGTTGTGGAGTGATGGAAGTGCGGAGATTGTGGCAGTGTGGACTTGGTTGGAATTGTTTTGAATGAGTTGGATGTTGTGAATGAAGGAACTGTTGAGACCAGGGAGAAAATCTTTGCAGAATCACGAATTTGTCGGTGTCTGACCATAAACAGCACGATTAATTCCTTCACTTTGTGGAGTCCTGTAGCTCAGTGGTTAGAGCACTGGCTTTCCAAGCGAGAGACCTGAGTTCAATTCCAGACAGGGCGAAACCTTGGGCAAGTTTCCTTACTCCACACGCCTAATAATAATCCCTCCAAAAAAGCAAAACAATAATAAATTGGTCATTTTCAATCTAACATTCTTTGTGGAACATTGCTGTGCGCAATTGGCTGCCGCGTTCGCCCACAAATATACAGTCAATTCGCTTTGCAGTGTGTTCTGTGAAGCGCTTTGGGACGTCCTCCCGCCGTGAAAAGCGCTATGTCAAATGCAAGGATTATTATTATTATTATTACTTATTTTGATTTTAGTCTGTACTATGTTGTGCGTGATGCGCATTCTAAGGATAACAAGGCAGAGGAATTTTGAACGTCGTCTTAAATAAGAGGAGGGAGGTTCAGATTCATTTTCGCATCTGAGGGAACACACATTTATGTTCATTATGATCCACAACTTTCAGATTATATTCAGTGTATTTGCTTGACCAATTCCTATCAGATGGTGACATGATTCTAACCACAGAAGAGTAACGAATATTTGAAGCTCCAATGTTTATTTAGAGAACATATCCAGAATATTTTGAGAAGTTTTATTCTATTTTCTGGAAGTGAAAGAGGAGATCTTTCATGTGTAACTCGACAGGCGACAGAGAGTGAATGAGGTTCAGCATCTTACATATGATTCGGTTTTCTTTATTGTGCAGTTCATTGGTTAAATCATATCTGTAGCTCAATTGTTAGCACAGTCGCCTGACAAAAGAGTTAGTAGTGTTTGATCACTTCAATATTCCTTAATAATGACTTCACAATATTTTGAAAATGAACCCTTCAATCCATGCGTGTTTTTGGGACACTGCTCTGTGAATGAAGTTTGAGCAAAATAACATCAATTTACGCAGCTCGCAGTAAATATGTTTGTTTGCTGCTCCTTTATCTCACAGGGAATCTGTTGGCCATTGTGGTCCTGTCCCGGGGAAAGTGTGGGCTCTCAAAAGGTATCACCTTCTACCTGGTGGCCATGGCAGTGGCCGATATCCTGTTCGCCATCAACGATGTGGTTTTGAACGCAATACATTCTCTTTATTTCGATTACACATTTCTGGACATCACTCCCGTGTGTTCACTCAGATTGGTGCTGAAGTCGGCGGTGACACACATGTCAGTCTGGTTCACAGTGGCTTTCACCTTTGATCGCCTGGTCGCCATCTGTTGTGAACTGAAAGCAAGTTATTGCAGCGAGAGGACAGCAGCCGTGGTTGTTGGAGTGATATCTTCTCTGAGCTGTTTCATCAGCATTCCCTGGTACTTTATGTATGAGCCCAGTGAGATACTGAACAATGTGCCTTGGTATTGCCAGTACAAAGAGGCTTACTACACCTCTGCCACATGGATTGTATATCATTGGTTTGACACAATAATAACCCCGTTTGTTCCATTCTTTCTGATTTTGCTGATGAACGTGGTGACAGTCAGACACATTTTAGCCGCCAACAGAATCCGCAGAAATCTCCTGCACCAGAAAAGTAATAGTGGCAACGATGCAGAGATGGAGAATCGAAGAAAATCCATCATCCTACTCTTCGCCATATCCGGCAGCTTCATCGTGTTATGGCTGATGTATGTTTTAGATTTCATATTATCACGAACGTTAGACAAATATTTCTACCAAAGTTACAGAGACCCAGTGTATGTTGTCCAACATGTGACAGACATGCTTAAGGTTTTAAGTTGCTGCACAAACACCGTCATTTACGCTTTAACACAATCTAAGTTCAGAAAGGATGTCAAATATCTCGTGATCTATCCGTTTAAACACATATTTAAACTATTTAAGTAAAGGTAAATGTGTGCCACTCGTTGTAATATTTGAAACGTTGACAACGAATCATAATTTAATGAGGCAACTGATAGCCTGACTTTGATTTCAAGTGGTGCGCTGCAATAAAATTAATCCTTGTAATCGATGTAGAGCATTACTACGCCATCTGAAAGGGTTTCACGGAATATACTGTCAATTAAGTTGCAGTTAACGGCTGAATGGGGCTCCATGATTTTGGAGGTGTCCTTGTTGCTCTGTGAACGTTCCTCCAGATACTTTGATATTTTCATTATTTTATTCCAGATTCCGTTGAAACTAAGCTCACCCAAATTCAACAAGCAGCAATTACGTGTTGCTGGTTAACTCGAAAATTATTTTAAACATAAAATCTTCACGGGCAAAACCCTGAATAAAAAAATAATTGAGTAAATTATTCAAATAGGTATTGATTAGGCAAGTTGAACTAACGGCCAAAGTCATATATTAAGAAGGTTGGAAATGTAAAAGAGAGAGAGGGCAAGAGATGTGGATCAGTGGTGAAAGAGCCATAGATGTGTCGTTTATGCAGGGTTATTGGGTGAGGAGGTGATCGAGGTGAGCTTCAGAAGCATAAGAATTCAATCATGTATCGGTCTTTGGTTAATTTTGAAGGGAAAAACGTCAAGTGTTCTCTTCAGGTTGGTATTTTTTAGACATTGTCAGAGTCTTCGAGAGTTGTAGCAAATTATGTGGCAAATAAACATTGGAATTTTATTCTGTAAAATACTTGGACCAGTAGCTGAATTGTACAGTTTCCTTTCTATCTTTCGTTATTTGTTGAGTTACCTTATCAGCCAATAAACATTTCACGTAATTTGAACAACGCAACTGTGTCATATTGCATTCTCTTGTTAATCTAAATATTGGCAGTTCAATTCGAGTATGTAAGTATGTTGATCCCGCGTGCCGCCAATTGGACACCGCTGTTGTAAATATCGAGACAGTGTATTTTGTTTGTGGCGGTCAATTTTCAATGAAGTGTGTGTCTAATTTTGATTGTTGGCGTTGTCAGCCAGGACAGCAGGAGAAACTCACTTCCATTACTCATACATATCATTGTACAAAATATTGTCAAACACTTATATATATATACAGGCTTATTCCACTCTCCGCACTGAGGTCTCCCAACCGCCGGTTCCTCCAGCTGCCAAACGAGGACGTTCAACAGGGAGGGAGCGGATGGTTAACGTTTGGAAATGGTATCTCGCCTAAACAATTCACCACCGGGCACATGCGGCCCGCGTGCCGCCATTTGGACACCACTTTTGGAGAGTATCGAGACAGTAAATTCTGCAATTGATTGTCGATGTCAAATTGTAGTGAAATATGTGTCCAATTTTTAATGATGGTGTTGTGAGCCAGGACACAAGGAGAAAATCACTTCCAGTTTGGATACATATCATTGTGCAGAATATTGTCAAACAAATGTACATATACAGACTTCCCCACAAACACACACACAAACACCGAATCACACCCACAACAGCACAGAAACAAAGAATTACAAGCACAGACAGATAAACACTCACCAACACACTCAGATATGTAAAGAGGGAATGAAACGCACAGCTGCAAACAGAGACACACACATACACACTCACATAACACCCAGACGCGCACAGACATGAACACAGTCGCAAAGAACAGCAAGAAAAACTTCAATTTGTATAGCGTCCTCCATCCCCGGTGTTGTACCAGTTACATACGAACATGTGAAAGATATGCTTAGGCTTCTGAGTTGCTGCACAAACACCGTCATTTACGCTTTAACACAATGTAAGTTCAGAGAGGATGTCAAATATCTAGTGATCTATCCGTTTAAACACATATTTAAACTATATTAATAACGGTAAATGTTTGTCACTCGGTGTAATTTGTGAAACATTGAAAACGAGTCATCGTTTTGTGGGACAATTGTTAGCTTGGCGTTTATTTCAAGCGGTGTGCAGCAATAATAATAATCTTTATAATCGATATAAAGCATTACCTCGCCATCTGAAAGTGTTTCACAGAATATACAGTCAAGTAGGTTCCAATTAATGAATGAATGGGGCTTAATGGACTGTAAGCCATCATCGACATCATCAACCTGTCCCTATGCTCTGGCTCTGTCCCCATTCCATTAAAAACTGCCATCATCACGCCCACCCTGAAAAAACCCTCCCTTGATGCGTCGCAGCTATCAAGCTACCGGCCCATCTCCAACCTCCCCTTTCTCTCCAAGGTCTTGGAAAGAGTTGTCGCCTCCCAACGGCGCTCTTTCCTTTCCACCCATTCTCTTTTTGAACCCCTTCAGTCAGGTTTCCGTGCTGCCCATAGCACAGAAGCTGCCCTGGTCAAGGTCACCAATGATATCCTGACCATCTGTGACCAGGGCTCCCTCTGTCTCCTCGTCCTCCTCGACCTATCGGCAGCATTCGATACGGTCGACCACGCTATCCTACTCCACCGCTTGTCCTCCCATCTAAACCTTCAAGGCACTGTCCTTGAATGGTTTAGGTCGTACCTTTCTCACCGTCTTCACTTTGTCTCAACGAATGGCTTCTCCTCCACCCCCGTACTGTCTCATGTGGTGTCCCTCAGGGCTCTGTCCTCGGTCCCCTCCTCTTCACCCTCTATATGCTCCCCCTCGGTGACATCATCCGCAGACATGGAGTTAACTTCCACATGTATGCGGATGACACCCAACTCTACCTTTCCTCCTCTACTCTCAACTCCACGACCACCGATGTCCTGACAGCTGCCTGTCCGACATCGAGTCCTGGACGAGAGACAACTTTCTTCAGCTCAACGTGCGAAAAACCGAGGCCCTCCTGATTGGCTCACGTCAGCGCCTCCGCACCTCAGGCGCTGACACCATCAGCATCCAAGGCTGCACTCTCCACCTCTCAAAGCCAGTCAGGAACCTCGGCGTTTTGTTCGACCCTGAGCTGTCCTTTCTCCCTCACATCCGCACCACAACTGGCACCGCCTTCCATCACCTCCGGAACATCGCCAGACTACGGCATTACCTGACCCCTCACGCTGCTGAAACCCTAGTTCACGCCTTTGTCACCTCAAGGCTGGACTATGGGAAATCTCTCCTCGCCGGCCTTCCCGCCACCTCCCTCCACAAGCTGCAGGTCATTCAGAACTCTGCAGCTCGTGTACTGTCCAGCACCAGGCTTCGGGACCACATCACTCCCACCCTCGCTCGCCTCCACTGGCTCCCCATCCCCCAGAGGGTTGAATTCATGATCCTCATCCTTACCTAAAATGCCATTCACGGCCTTGCTCCCTCCTACCTCTCCAACCTACTATCCCCCGACCTACCTGCCCGTACCCTCCGTTCCTCCGGCTCCGGTCTGCTCCACGTCCCCCGCCCCAATCGCACTACCATCGGTGGTCGGGCCTTCAGCATCTCAGCCCCAAGGCTCTGGAACTTCATCCCCCAAGGCCTTCGCCTCGTTTCCTCCCTTTACTCCTACAAGCCCGTCTCAAGTCCCTTCTCTTTGACCGCGCCTTCAGATCCCCTCTCGACTCTCTGTCCCTCCTCGCTCCCTCACTTCCCTCCCCTCACCCTGACCATTTCCCTCCTGCTCTGGTCCTGACAATACTTTACTGCGCCATGAGACGTGAATGGCGCTCTATAAACGAAGTCTTGTTGTTGTTGTTGTAAACGGCTATTAAGCCATTCCCACACACCAGGTGTATGATCTACAATCGGATAGGAAATATATCGATTTTACATTGATGTTTAAGTCTACATTTAAATGATATATCCCTGTCTTTACTGATGATGATCTTTCCCTTTCTCAACCCATTCAGCTCTAACCCTCAGTTTGGTATTGCTGGCATGGTAAGCGTTTTATCTTGAACTCTCAAGTTGAAAGTCGGTAGGTTAGTCTAAATTATTGTTGAAGGCGAAACAATTTTCTGTGAAGAATTGCAGAACATAGCTTCCACAATTTTGTAACATGCAGTAAAAAATGTACATTGATATCATATCCTTCATTTTCTGAAGACGTCTTTATGCGCTCCGTTTGCTGCCAGGGCAGAGTTGTGTCGTGGTGATGTTCAACTGAAGAAAGTTAGATCTCCAACGGGTTGTTCGACAGTTTAAAGCGAGATTCACTCTGGAATTCTGACTGAGAAAGGGGGATCATATCAAGCTCTGATCTCAACTTGTAACCGCTTGTCCCAGAGAGAGTGGCCCCTTGGAGCCGGCCACCTACCCAGCGACACGTTGCACTGTACAACACGGATAACATGTTTCATGTCAAGACTGTCACACACTTTCACAGAGAAATGTGTTTCTTCTTGAGTGCTTTTATCAATAACCGCGGAACAAACACTGATCCTTTGATAATTTGCACGCTGAGAGTTTAACGAGAAGTAAAACCCTGAGACACTAACGGTGTTCGACTGTAATTTACACCTGCCTTAGTTCTTATGATCTTATTCCAGATCCCATTTATAGCCGAGTCTTACCGGCTCCGCTTTCAATGATGGGGTAAATTTCAAGATCCTCAAACTCCTTTCCAATTCATTACATGTCCTGAACGCCTTCCTACATTTGTAATCAATTTACCACCCAAAGCCACTCCCATCTTTGGCCACTTTTTTGAGTCACTTCGCCCGGAACCCTGCAACAAACTTCCTCTCTCCCCAAAACTTGGCCCTTCTTTCCGCATCTTTTGGTCTCGTCTGAAGAGCTTCCTATTCGACAGTGCTTAAAGTCATCTTCCACTACTCCTTACTCAGAGTTGTGCTGCACCACGGTCCGGCGGTAGAAAATGCTTCCCTGCGTGAGGTGCGTTGTTTAATTACAAAATGTTTTTTCTTGTAGACAACATATCGGAGTGACAACAGTAACAGTCAAAGATTCGCCAGCACCCTACTTCTGCCACAATCAGATCTCATTTATAATATAATAAATAGTAATCCTTGCATTTGATATATTGCTGTTCACGTCTTGTCGACGTCTCAAAGTGCTTCAC